GTACTAATTCCGCCCGGAGATTAGGAATTACACCCGGGACCCGGGAGAACATAGCGGAATCCAAAGTTGCCCAAATGTCATGGACGTCCAATGGTCATGGTAGTTGTGCGCATGTGCGAAATTTGAACGAGTGTAGACTGGTAATCAGCAACTTCCTGATTGGCTAAGACGAAACGTTTGTGTTTCAGTGAAAAACGTCAGCAACTGTCATTTTGTAAACTATTTTTTAAAAAAATGTTTTGAAAACAAAATATGAAATGTGGAATCAAATAACAGATAAAACACTGGGAAGAGTTTAAAATATTATCAGAACTGGAGGAATTAGCGGTGAAAAGGAACAACTCGATTATAATCCTTGAAATGGTAGGAGTCTATTTTGTTTATTCCGAGGTTTATTTCGTGTTTGCTGTACGAATACATTTTATGACCTTGGTACTGCTCTGGTAAGACGTGACCGACTATTTAAGGCTTTACATCATCGTTTTAACTTCCAAAAGAGTCCTTAAAAGTGTAATTCGGAGTTTTAATATAACAAATATCACTTTAAAGGTTTATATTTCGACTGCAATCTACGAATTTAAATACATTCGACTTTCCCTGCTTGGTTATTTTTATTATTTGGGCTGTTTTGATGTTTTGAAGGTTTAGCTATAATGAGGTATTAACTCTCACTTAAACTGTGAAAGTCTATAACTTTAATAATGCAACGGAAAGCAGCAGGAAAACGGGTGATTTCACTTCACCTTTACGACTGTGCTTGTATCCGAAGTATTTGAAACATCAGCTATCGGCTTTACATTTAGGATATTTCATAATATTGAAGGTTAGGTCTGGCTAATGAATTAATTCAGGAAATATTTTGCTTCGTTTGAAATGGCGAGGGGTTGCTGCATGCATGTATTTCTAGTTTGTAACTGAATGTAGTAATTTATTCTGCCTTACGAGCGGATCGGCCACTGTGATTACTTGCCAGGTCGTGGAGTCCATGCAATTATGGCGTATACAACTAAACAATCGTGAAAAATATGCATGTGGTTTGCGTGGGCTGTGCTTTCAGATGTTAATGCGTTGCAAAACAGGCAGTTCATAATCAAAGCAAATATGACCATAACAGAAAGGTGCGTTTAGAATCTGGTTTCTGGTATACATAATTGGAAATAACGGTGAGTGAGTTTGTATATCGTTACGTATATGGTTTATCTCTTATATTTACTTTGGTGGTGGTTTATATTGCATTATACAAACACGATATTTTCACCGTCACGAACGGATGGTTGCGGGCAGACGTGGCATGCATTCTAGAACTAGAACTAAATACTATAAAGTTTGAATATATTGCATGGACAATCGTAATCAAATCAAATCGTTATACCATTTGGTATAACATGATATAACAACTTCCTGAGATAGGAAAAACTTCTCGTTCGTTTCGAGAGGCATTGGCTAAGTCTAAGAGAGTTGATTCACCACATTTGATAATTTGTGAACGCTGCCACGCAGCTCCTTAATTATTCTTGTACGTATTAAATCATTCTATGCTTAGTGATTCTGTAAGAGTAATTCATCAACGTGGTGAAACTTTTGATAATCGTACAAAATCTATCCTTATATACATGTATAAAAGGGTAGATTAGATTGGGTCTGAATGTAAGCAAGCTTTTAACATATGGGGGTACGATTTGTGCAGCGGTATAATTTCGGCTCGGCACTATATGGTTCACTGCATCTCCCAGTAAATACATTTTGTAGTCGCGAAATATGAGTTTTGAGTAGAACGAGTTTTAGATAGGTCACAAATGATACTGTGAAAAGGATTGTAGGATATATCTTTGGTCTTGGAACAGTACTTTGCGTTAAATTAAATTGAAAAAGGAAAGTTTTTAAAATATTGGGTCGATTAGTTATTAACTGCATGAATTCGACGTGGACAGTTATGTTGTTCTCACGCACTGGCTATATATTCATGACCACAACTTTCTTGATAGCGACTGGATATATATTCCATATGTTGTAAGAATATCATAGCAGCATATAGAAGCAACATATAGACAGTCCCTGTATGTATGCATGCATGTACATTATTTTTTTGACTTTCTAAAATACTAATATAAGTGAAGCAGCTAGCTATTTAATATAATTGTTTAATATCGTATATAACGCAGGATGTTTTGTACTCGTGAAATGCGGTTGTTAAAAATTAAAATGTCTTGAAAATAAAAGGGAGAAACCTCAGTAAATGTGCGTTTGATTTGTGTAATTTACTCTTTTGCACTAAATTATTGTCTGTCACGATTTAAGCGACGATCGTATCAGGCGAAGTCATTACAGCAATTCAATAACATAAATATAGATTTCAAAATTCATTTTTATAAATTTCAAAGGATGCGCTTTCCGGAGACACAGACTGTAGTGTCACGTAGCTGAGAATGATTATTTTGTTATGTGAAAAGAGCCCAGAAGATTTAGACTACAAATCAATTAAGTAATCTTTGATAACTAAAAACATGCAGAGACTTGCACATTGTTTTGGTTTGGACATCCATGCAATTAAAATGGTTGGCAATATCTCCAGTAGCGGTATAATTTCGTCTCACTATGGTTCACAGCATCTCACATTAAATACATTTTGTAGTCGCAAAAAATTACTTTTGAGTAAAATGAATTTTAGATAGGTCGCAAATGATGCTTTTTTTTTTAGGCAATGGTGCCCAAATCACAGGTTTGGCACCATTTTGTCTAAACTTTTCGATTCATTAATTGTTTGTAAGCCCAAGCCTGTAAGCGCTTGGTGTAGTTAAAAGTTAAATTCTATTATTTACGCACTCCTGCATTAATTGCTGTGTTTAAGAAGATTTCAAAAGCATTTTTATTCTAAATAAACGAGGCGCAAATCGTAAAAATGAAGACAATAGCCAACAAAAATGAATTTGTTTTAATACCTGAACTGTAATGATATTCACTGATTAACACGTGATGGTTGTCATGTGATAATTATCCTTATTCATAGCCTGTAGCGCTTTAAGATTGTCAATATATTACATGGTGCCAGGTTAATAGTTTTCATGCATGTATTCTGATGTAAACAACTGAACATAAACGGTGAGTTATAGATCACTTACTAAGGTGCTGTTTATATGATCTCGGGTACCAGGGATACCCTACCCCCCGAGACACCCTGGTAGAGAAGAAATCATATTCATATTATAGCACCTGAAACGCAAGTGTTTATATGGAAGGTTTTAAACTCGCCTCGGCTGGTAGGGTCACCCTGGGGGTAGGGACACCCTGTTTACGAAAGAGGGTAACCCCAGAGGGAGGGACAATTTTTATCCATGTAAACAGTTTGTCTCGGCCCCCAGGGTTAACTTTTCACATCAGCGCATGCGGAATAGACAATAGAACGTTTATAAAAAGACAACATGGCGTGCGCTATCGAACAAGAAACACTTGAAACGGTTAATTGCATAACAACGACAAAAAAATCCGAGAGGAAAAAATGGAAATGGGATGACGAGATGATTCAGTGCTTAGTGAACGCATTGAAAGACTACAAGAGTCTTTGTGAGTTCAATTCAATTGATTTCAGCGCAGATAAAGTAAAGCTATACGAAGAAGTGAGAAAAACTATGGCATTGCCGCATCCAGAGAGCTCACTCACACACTCTTTATCTTCTTCGTCGGCCATGTTTTTTTTTCAAAAAAAGAAAAATTTCCCGCCAAAATCCCGGGAATTCCCGGCTTGCTGTTTTTATCATTTTATCATATAAACGCTCGGTAAAGTTGTCTCGGGGGGTAGGGTATCCCTGGTACCCGAGATCATATAAACAGCGCCTAATTTGTCTTTGGAGAGGATCGTGCATGCGGTAAATTTTGTATAACGTAACATAAATGACATACACGACGATATTTGGCAGCAAGAAAGAACTGTTTGAACATTTATAAGGGGATTTATTAACTATATGGGAACTCTTGATCCGTTCCGGAGAAATAAAATATATGTTATCACTCATTTGAAACGACTTTGAGCCAACCGCGAGAGAATATTCATAGTAGCTGCAAATTCATCGCCATTTATAATCACGCATGTAGACTTCGTTGTAATAGTATTTCAAAGTTATGCAAGTTGCCAAGTTCGTATATTACTAAAAATACCAATTGCAAAAGAGAGTTAGTAACACAATTGAGTCCAACTGACTCTGAAATTGGACTGCGGAGATAAATAGGTAGCCAACGGTATAAACAACTGGTCTTGTTTCTCTGCACAGTAAATTTGAAGGAGTTAAAATTACTCTATAAACAGAGTCAATACTACTCCGACTATAGGAGTTAAATTCTGAGGAGTAATGGTAGCTAACTCCAAAAATAGAGCACATTTTACGTATACCACTCATGGAATTAAACTACTCCCGAAGATGGAGTTGAAACGAATAGATTATATTGTACTCTTGCAGAGAAGTAGTTTTAACTACATAGAGTTATAACAACGCCTTTAATGGGGGTAAAAACAACTCGCATGGCCGGGTTGAAAACACTCCTTCCTTAGTAATGAATGTAACTCGTTCAACGTAGTAAAAACAACTCCCAAATTAATGTAAAGAGTTATTGTGACTCGTGAATAACAATTATATTTTATCATTATCATGTTGTGACATGCAGTTGTGTCCCCCCTTTTGCATGCCGTTATGGCACCTGTAATATTACAAACCGAAAGTGCGAAATCTGGAATAAGGTTTGTCTCTTGCTCGAATTCTTCAATGACGTATCAATGAATTACATTACCACTGCGGCGTTAATGCAAGTCGTATTATTATTGTATCGTTTGTATGTCTTCTAAGTATGTGAGCCGACTTAAAGAATACAGGCCTTGAGATTGGCGTTTACGGCAAATTGCTAACAAACTTTGTGTATTATTTTTACTCCACTATTTTAAAGTGTGCAAAAGTTTCGCTTAATTATAAACGTTAGATTATTTGGTTTATTTCGAATAATAATGGAATATATTTAACAATTGTGTCTTTTGTTCTCGCTTAGCAAACAATATCTATCAAGAATGGCCGACTATAAAACGTTAAAACAACGTGTCCGATGATCTCTATATATTAATGTGATATTCTCTATTCATGCTAATAATATAAACTTGAATATTAATGTTAATAAGTATAACTGTTAACTGTTAATGTTAACCTTGATGAGTGTAACTGTTAATGTTAACAATAAACGTTCTACATAAAATTGTGATGTTCAGCAGTGATGTAAGAAAGCAAAGGCAATTGCTGATGTATTTAGCCAAACAGTAAATACAGCTTCGTAGTTTGTGCTTCACGTTTGCCGTATAAAAATTTAATGCTCGAATGGCTGTAAGTGTATGCAACACTTTTTCACTTCCTGGTCTTTATGCCGGAATAAAGAGTTTTTAATTTTTTGATACCGCCAAAATATTTTATTCACAATATTTCCAGGTTTTACGTTGAATCGCGTCGTTGGTCGCGTCGAAAGCATGTAATTCAAACAATAGATAATGCGATGATAATTCTCTAAACCATCTAGCGAATCATCTAGCCATCAATCATCTAATGAAAATGCGACATATAACCTAGGTCTAACATATCTAAACATATACATTAAATCTTCATTCATTTTCAATATATTATATTTCTAACGTGCTGCAATATTCCTTGTTAACCAGTTTGTCATGGCTGATCCCCCAGAACCACCAGCACCAGCTGGGGGTCTCGATGTTGATTTAGAAGTTACAAATGAAAGCATAAGATTGAGATTCAGATGCAGCACAGGAGTGGCAGTTTTATTGGGGGTTACAGGCGTGACGCTGGGGGCACTTTACGGCAGAGAAAGAATCCAACCTGTTATAGAAAGATTGTTTAATTCTGTTTTTGGCTTCTGCAAACTCACCCCTGGATCCATTGTTGTCGATGTTGATTGCTTTTCAGCCGAGCGTGTGAAGGAATTACTTGACAATTACAAATGTGGAAAACTTAAACGACGGTTTCTGGCAGAGCTCCTAAAGATTGAAGGCAAGATCGAAAATCTAAGAATCAATTTTGAACTGAAGGAAACTTTGGAGATGAACACAAATCGCAAATCTAGGTAAAACTCGTCTCAGTTATCTCTCGTATAAACTGTGGTGCAAAAAAGCGAAACATATTCAGAAATCAACATTGTGTATGTTTTCCTGTGTCAATTACTGAAGCTTTTCGATATTCGCCGAATGTTTGGTGAATATCGCTGAATAAAAACCGGGACGAAATCGAAAAAATTACAAACGTGATTTCTTTAAAAAAAGAATCTGTTGTAGAAAATACACGTTTTGCAAACGTAAAAAAATATATCAACACTACGTACCTTGGTAGTAAAACAACATTGTTTTTTTACCTTGAGATCATATTAGGCCCAATTTGTTTTATTTTTGTGCTGTTAGGTACAGTATTTTCGATAAATAACTTACTCTACATCTTTCATTTTGTAATATGTGTAATATGTCGCTCGACGAATCGGAGGCCAGAAATTTCAATAATCACCTTTGTGATTATACTAATATATCTTAACCAAATGTTAGTTGTAAACGGTGGTAATAAACGTTGTACTTTACATGTGTTTGTTTAAGAACTTTTGAAGAAAAGGAAGAGAAACAACCTGAGAAAACAGAAGAAGAAAAGACAGGAATGTCTGAGAGTGAGGTAATTACCTGATCCCGAGGGAAACATCATGTTTTGTGGACCCGAGGCCACCAAAGTTGAAACATGGTGGTCGAGGGTCCACAAAACACGATGTTTTCCGAGGAGATCGGTCAATAAGCGTTTTATTACAGTATATAGCAAGTTTCAAAGAAAACAATGGAACAAATGAACTTCGAAACTTGTTATACAGGGTGTATCAGTAAAAAGTGTTTGTTTACAAAATATGGGAACTTGAGAAAATTTGATAAAAAATAAGTACGCCATGCAGATGCGTATTTTTTGTCTCAACTTACAGTTTGCGCAACTTCTTCATTCTCAAATGATTTTATGTATCAATGATTGCCTGGCTGCCTACGTTTACAATGGTATTGTGAAACAAAATTACGAATAATTGAGCCCGGTTTTGACTCCTGTGGATTTTTTCCTTTGGGGTTACCCGAAGGACAATTGTTAGCGTAGTCACGCAGACAATTATTTATGCATGAAATCATTCAGGCATTAAAAAAGTCGCGCAAGCTATGATTTGAGACAAAAAATACCCCAAGTTTACGCGTCTGCGTGGAGAACTTTTTTTTCACCATTCTGAAATTCCCGGCATATTTTGTATAAACAAAAACCTAAACCTTTATTTCATGAAATTAAAATTGATTTTTAACAAGTCATTCATGCTTACACGAGCCATTCAAAATGAGGTTTTCACAAACAGTAGCGTAGCCAGCCTGTCGATTTGTCCCGCTATGCTAATATTTTAGTGTTCACTGACTGTGAAAACAATAAACTTCTAAAGACATGAATAATTATAATAATTCGAAATTTACATAGCAGGAAAAAATCTTCAGGCTGGCTACGCTACTGTTCACAAACCCGTCTACCGTTTTTCGAGTTAAATTTCCTGTTTGTTTTTAGCGTTACATTGAGGCGACGATGCTAACGTAACTATATTAGCACGATTCTATGCGACGTTTTTGATAACTATATAAATACGGTTTAATAAATGCTTCAAAATTGTCTACTTTTTTCTGATACACCCTGTATAATAATATATTTTATCGAGGTAATGCTAAGTCTTCATAATCTCGAAGTCTTACGAATTGTATTAATCTGATGTTCCGTTTTAAAATATCTGCTGTATTTTTTCAAAAGTCACAAAACAACAACGAAACTGCAAGCCTCAGAATAAATTATTTGATCTATAATAATAATTCGAAACAGCTGAAGTTGCAAAAAGCTTTTTTCGTTATGACTAGTTTAGAGTGGATTAGAGATATGTTAAAAAATACGGTAAAGCCGTGACTGATATTATATACTTTTCATCCCTAACCTTTGTCACCGTATTTTGTGTCTCATCGAAAAAACCTCAGAATACATTGTGAGCTTTTTTTTCAAGTACCTTGAGACGTTGAAAAGTGTCAGAAAGTTGGATGGCGTGAAGGAAAGACTTATCAATTTATCCAAAATTAAGGATAATAGACCTTATAATTACCGCAAGAATGATAGTCCATACAGTCATGTAATCAATATGAGTGATGAACACGGAAGGACAATCTTCCACTATGCCGCTATAGTCAAAAACCAATATTTGTTTAAACATCTCTTAAACCTTTCGCGATCCAATATCAACGAACAGGATTGTGATGGCAGGACCGCTTTACACCTCGTGTGCATACCCACTGATCTCCTTACTCGACACGAAGAATTCATACACCCACATTTCTGGTGGGGTGGTGGCCGCTTATACATATGCCGTCAGGCAGATATAAATGCAAAAGACAGCGAAGATCGAACCCCGCTGCACTACGCCGCCATGTACTACGAAGATCATGTTGAAACGTTGATCAAAGAATGCATATGGGCAAATATTTACGACATTGACGTATATGGTAAAACGCCTCTATATTATGCTGAGGAACATGGTAAAACAAAAGCTGTAGAGCTTCTTAAAAAAGGTTATTATACTTTCAAGCGTGGTGCAATTGAGGCCGCCGAGAAACTTTTGAAGGCTGGTGCTAGTCTGGATCTAAAAGATGCAAAAGGGCGAACAGTTGCACATCTTGCAGCAATAGGTGGCGATGAAAAGTTGTTTGATTTACTTTTTAAAAGCAATGCAAGTTTGAATGCCCTGGATAGCGAAGGAAACTTTCCTCTTTATTATGCAGTCCAACAGCACAGTATAGTCATCGCCGAGAAACTTATCAAATCTGGAGCCAGCGTGGATGGGAAAAACGACCAAGGAGAAACAGTGCTACATCTTGCTGCCAAACGAGGTGATGAAGCACTGGTTGACCTGCTTTTGAAAAACAACGCAAATGTGAATAGTATCGACAGATTCGAGAACACCGTTCTACATAGTGCCATTTGTGGAAACAATGCCGCAATTGTCGCGAAACTTATTAAAGCTGGAGCCAACATAGGAGGGAAAAATAACGATGGAGAGTCATTGTTACATGTTGCGGCAAAATGTGGTGATGAAAAAATTATTGATCTGCTTTTGAAAAATAACGGAAATGTGAAAGATATCGACAGTAGAGGAATGTCTGTTTTGCATTATGCCGTCGGAGGCCAGTGGCTTCATGCAGTTGCCATCGCCGAGAAACTTATTAAAGCTGGAGCCAGCGTGGATTTGAAAAATAACGAAGGACAAACAGTTTTACATCTTGCTGCCCAACATCGTCGTGAAGAACTGGTTGATCTAATGTTGAGGAACAAAGTTAGTGTGAAAGATGTCGACAATAGAGGCAACTCAATCCTTCATTTTGCCGTAGGGTCAGGCATCGTGACGATGGTCGAGAAACTTATTAAAGCAGGTGCCAGCGTAAAAGGGAAAAATGTCTATGGAGAGTCATTGTTACACGTTGCGGCAAAAAGTACTGATGAAAAAATGATCGATCTGCTGTTGAAAAATAACGCAAATGCGAGTGGTATCAATAATGAAGGAAAATCTGTCGTTTATTACGCTGTCGAAAGGCGCAATGTCGCCATCGTTGAGAAACTTTTAGAAGCTGGAGCCGGCGTAAAAGGAAAAGATTATGAAGGACGAACAGTTTTACATCTTGCTGCACAAGACAATAATGAAAAAATGGTTGATTTGCTGTTGAAAAATATGGCGAATGTAAATGATATTGACAGAAAGGGAAACTCTGCCCTATTTTATGCTGCCACGTGGCGCAATGTGGCCATCGTCGAGAAACTTGTTGAAGCCGGAGCTAGCGTTGGCGGGGATGATGATAAATCTCTTTCAACAGGTTCACAAGTGTGGACCCGAGTGTCTCTTGGAAAATACAAAGATTACTTTGCTTAATAAAATCCCTGAAGATTTTCCCACAGCCACAGAGTCATTGCTTGAATTAGGGCTTGTTAAAGTTATCCCTCGTGTTGTTGAATTCCTCCCGAACCACTTGAAATTTTTAAAACCAGCGGTTCTTATGATCAAACTCGAAAGACCTGTCTCTGATATTGAACTTTTCATCCTACATGACTCCTACCATGACAATTACCAAAAAACTACGTGGGAAGCTGTGAGTAATAGTACCGAGAAAGACGATGTTGAAGGGGTTTCGAGTGTAAAAATTAACGGCTTCTCTCTGTACAGTTTCATTTTGGGGATGCGCGGAATGTTAGCTCGAATCTTATGTCACCTGAATTACTCGTTTGTCTGCCGAGCCTATGCCTTGTATCGGAAAATTGGTTCCAAGGGAACTGTGGATATCGCTGTTGTCCTCGTTAGCGAGTTTCTTGATGACAATAACGAAGACGATATTAAACAGTTGAAAGATCACTTTGAAGGTGGTTATCGCATAGGGGACAAAGGAAAGCTGGCTTGTGTTAACACTGATCTTTTTTTTAAAATAAGTTTAAATTTCGTCGGAAACAAAAGCTCGTGTACTTTTAAGATTAACCAGGCTCAACTGGATTCGGATGGTTATGCGATTAATATCAACTGCTTTGCTAAATTAACGAGTCCGGCAAATGGGAATGTTGAAATACGCGAATTTACATATCAAAATACATTGTTGTGGAAGTTGACTGTATCTGAGATTGCGCAGGAGACGGAAGAGAAAGAAACTGATGGTAGGTTTTTCAATATCATCTAAAAATATAGTGCAAACTGTATTACAACTGGCGTATGAAGCACGCTAACAGGGGTGAGGCACATTCATGTTAACAGACTGTAAAGACAACCGATTTCAAAAGAAATTGATCGGGCAGACATGAATATATGAATATGCTCCTGCCCCAAAAATTGTGTTTCCAACGCCACTGATATACAAACAGCAATATTTGGACAGTTTGTTATTTGTCTTTTGAGAAGCAGTTTTGACAAACTGACGTTAATTATTTTCGAATGCACCACTTTAGCCACAATTTTCCCACAATTTAATATGATAATGTCCAAAGAGCTAGAATTTTTTACAACATTGCATGCGTCAGGAAATCCTTTGAAATCAACAAATTTTTTAAGTGCTATATTCTTTTAAAACAATGTTGGTACAATTTTTTAAATACACTTTTTCAATACACTTTTTTTGTGCTTATTACACTGCAATTGTTCCGAATTATATTTTAGTACACCGTACAGAAACGGAACCGATCCCAAAAGGTACGGTATTCCATTGAGCTATTTCTTAAAACGTATTGCTTTTCTGCGCCGAGTTGCGAAGTGTGTTGGGAAATTGGAAACTACGTTTCGAATTACGGAAGTATACGTTGCCAACTTCCGTATCTAATTCCAATTGTAATTAGCCTATCATTGACGGGCCAATAATGGTGCGAATGCGATATGTGTGGAGAGACTGAAGACGCACTTCGAATGGTCTAGTGTATGCACCCCTCGTGTTGTCCTGACAGACCAAAGAAGCGCTTATTAGCTACAATTCTTGCTTTCGAAACAAGATATCTATTCATCTTGGGCAAGATTTGCCTACTAGTATTTATATTTTAAAAAAAATTGGGTACATTTATTTTGATCAGTTTAGGAGAATTATTTTGTTATTTCGTAGACGTGCATCGGAGCACAAAGCTCACAAATGCTGAAATATGTCGAATGAGCTGTAGACTTGGACTGGACTGGGACAGCTTAGCTGGACTCTTGGATATTCCGTATTATGATCGCGAGGAAATCAGATTCAATTTCGTCAAGTTTTCCTCAAAATCCGAACAAGTTTTCCAACTTTTTAATAAAAGCCAGTCCTTTGATCGTAATATTTTGGTAAAGTGCTTAAAAGAAATAAAGCGACAAGACTTGATGGAAGTAATGCTTCCGCATGAGAACGAGGTAATTTAATGTTTATTCTTTATTAATGACCGTTCTTTTTACAAATGTATCAGCCAAGAACGTTGCCCAATATTTAGTGTTCCAATGCAGTGCATCACCCGTGAAAATTTTCTCGTTCGCACCCTTCGGTTTCTTCTCGAGAGCGTTACTCAAATTCCCTGATATTAACAGCCTTTCTATGTTCTTAGGTGCATGAGAACGCTACGCCGGTAGTAATTTTTTTCCCACTCTCTCCTAATATACAACATATAAATTATTAGGTTATTTCATATATCTAATCTATAATCTAATCGGAACATGTTCGTCAACTTGTCCGTTTTAAGGATCCTACAATCCCCTAGCTAAAACACTTTCTGAGAACGCCCCTGCTAACTCCTCACTGTTGTTCAAAGGACCCAAGAACTTAACTTCATCTTTTCCTTTGTAAAAAAAATATAAGAAAGACTGATCTCCATAAAGAAACGTCAACTTGATGCGACAAACTGAATATGTTCCAGGCTTGGTAAAATATTGATTTTCTTCCAGGCGCAGAGTCAAACTGAGGACGTGGAAATTCGATCATTGCAAACTAAGGACTCTGAGGACGATCAGTTGGTTGAAACGCGTCTTTCTTCTCGAGAATTGTACAGACTAAGTCGAGGCATTGTTGTTGATTGGGAAAATCTTGCTGGTCTTCTGGAAATACCTGTAGAAGACAGAAATATCATTCGCACTAGTAATAAATACCATGATGGCCGCAGTCGAGCTGAGAAAATGTTATCGATTTTTAACCGTCGGGAAGATTTCTCACGTGAAAAACTAGTTCACTGCTTGAAGGAAATTGGGCAGCTTGAATTGATAGAGCCAATCTCAAGTGGGGAGTGGAGAAACGTATGAAGAAGATTAGTTATCTTTGTGGTAAGTTATTTTGTACTGGTGTGGGTTTGCATGCTCACTTACAAGCATAGGTTATCCTGCAAAATGCACGTGGGGTATTTCCAAGAGAAAAGCCTTTAAATTCAGGGCGCATGTCTTCTCCCTTGTTGTCATTCCCATTCACAATTTAAGAAGAATTAGGAAGAAGGTTAACTGTTTTTTGTCATTCTCTCTTTTTTAGGCGTTAGGGTGCGTTGTCAACGGCGACAAAATATTTATAGGAATCATACACTTAGTAGAAATCCTTCACAGTAGCTAAAATTAAATACTAGTATGATGAAGTAGAGATGATTAGTTAGAGAAACTAAGGAAAGGAGACATTGAACCTGAGGCCATAGAATTGTTTAGGAATCTCAGAGGTTCAATTCATGTCGAAGTACCTTACTTGTATTTGCTTGTTTTAACAATCCCAGATTGGTCTATAAAAATTTTTTAATACTTCGTTCACCCAAAAATGTGTTTTCAACGTTTCAACATTATCAAAAAAGAGGTGGCGTAAAACGCTAAAGGTTGAAGAGGTTGCTCAACGGACCTAAAACACAAAATGGCGGGAGTTTGATGTTTAGGAAACATCACCCGGACATGCTTTTTGTTACTAAAAACGGTATGTTTTAGATCCACATTGCTTTGCACTGCCACAAGTATTAACGCGCGTGCAAATGTTTGGGTTATAGAAGGTTACCTAGAAATTCAGCTTTGAATTGAGAAACCATATCCACGAATCGCTACGTATACTGTGATTGGCACCCAACAAGACAGTTTTGCAATTTTAAGCCTTCCGGATCATCGAAAATAAGTCTTTTACAACATTGTACGACGTATATTATCCACAGTAAATTGTGCGTAGTTCTTATGCTACCGATTTTTACATGACTGCATGACATGCCTAGAATTTTTTTCCGGCTAGGATATTATCAAATTCAATAATGCCCTTTCGAAGACCCAGAACAGAGGATACACCACACTAATACGTACCACCTGTTTCATGCATTATACTCACCCATACTCATTACCGGAAAATGCCTCTGTAGGGGCTGTTTGCCTGTGCCCGCGCAGCGGAGATTTAACGAAGCGTGAGATGATTTTGAGGTATTGAAACTAGTATATAACATGAACCTGATAGTCTGTAGTCATCAAAACAATCGCATGTGATAATCCGGTTTTATAAAAACTTTTTAACCCTTAAAATCATCTTAATCCTCGTTAAAATTTCGTATCTCGGGTAACTGGGCTCATGTGAACAGCTCTTATAAAAACGAGTTTGTCCGCCATGAATCATGTAGATGAGCCCCTGTACTATAAAATATAAACACAGAACTGAGAAGAGAGGTGGGAGGTTATTGTGTAACCTGATGCTTGGAAATTTGTAAACCAAACTGTCATTTATTTAAACTGAAATGGCTGCAAATACATCTCGTGTAGTCAACGGTGATTTTATCTATCTGATGTAGTCAACAGTGAAATAAACAGTGAGTGAATTTTGTACATTACAACACATCAATTTGTCGTCAGAATGGTCGTGTATGCGGTAACTGTTTATAGTATAAACATGATGTTTTTGCCATAAAAATGAACCGAACGAAAGTACAAGGAAATTTGTATATACTGTAAACAATGCATTCTGAATCTAATTAACAATTAGTCGCCGAAGGCGAGGTGATTACAAGCCTATATTCACTGAGCCGAAGGCGAAGTGAATATAGGCTTGTAATCACCGAGCCTGAGGCGACTAATTGTTTTAGTATAATTTCAGTATTGAAAAAGTTTTATTTATAAATACAACTGATACACATGTTTATTTTATGAATATAATTTTGATTTTGAGTATTTTCAGCCATGTTTTTTTGGGGAAAAGCAATAGTTACTGCTCAAACTGCTCTGAGCAGTAACTATTGCCTCAGAGTTACTGCTGAGGGAGCCAATCAGAATGCTCAAAGGCCATTTTTCAATACTGAAATTATACTAAGACCGATTATTCCTAAGTCGAACACATCATTACCGGGAACACACGATATACGTTTAACTATCGCTATTTTGCTTTTGAAAACATCCTTGCGCTCAGAATAGTAAATAATAAGCGCGGAGCAATGTCTAACTTTAAACTAGATTATTGTAATGATCTAAGCATGGCCATCCAGATTTTCTGACTAAAGCTTTGCCGATTGCCGAAGCTCGTTTATACTGCAAAAATGTTAGAGCCGGACAGGTCTCTTAGTTATAATTCAGTGGCGTAGCCAACCTGACGATTTAGTCATGCTATGCAAATGTTGAACACCAAAATATTAGCATAGCAATGATAGCATGACTAAATTGTTGGGTACGTGGCTCGTACGCCACAGTCGTCACTGGTATAACTTCTGCATGAAAATTCATCGTCAACAGACTTAGCACATTTTCTATGAGGTTATATCTAAGTTAATTATTTGAATTCTACGGTTGTCAAAACTAAATCTAGGATATAGTGGTACAATCCTGACACAATAGCGAGTCCATTGCACTCTTTAAATCGTAATAAAAAAACAATACAAGTGCTCATGCCACTTTTTTGTTTATTCACTGGTGTGGCGAAGTTTTATTGAAATCTGATGCTTTCAATGTGTGTCTATTCGATCACATACGTCAGGGGGAGAAACGTATACATCAATAGTGCCTTGTAGACAGAACTTTTACTTTCTTGAAGTGATATATTTTGTGATGATTGTCGATAGAAACGCTTTGTACATCGCGAATGAAAAATTTCTCTATCTTAAGCCATTCAATTTTTTGAATTTATTACAACTTTTATTACAACTTTATTACAAATTCTCGAACTCCCGAGGGGAAAAAAATTGTTCGAGTTACCGGGGGTTCGATTAACCGGAGTTGGTGTCAGATGACGTTT